CCTGGGGTGGGCAGTGTGGGGTTTGGGGCATTTTCAGGGGCTCCTTCACAGCCCAGTTGCTGCAAGGGCTGGGCCAGCCTGAGGCTGGGACCCCTCTGCTGGGCTGCAGGACACAGGAGTTGTGGCAGGGCCTTAGCTTTTGCTGTAACAACTATTACAAGTGGTAAAATGTCAGTTTTCCCAATTTTCCTCCCCACGAGCTGTTTTAAAGGGAATGAAGGCAGATCCTGCCATAGCTTAGTGCATTACTGGCCAACTCAAATGACTCCCTGCTGTCTTTTCATCTCCACAAGACTTTTAATGCCCTAAGTCTTTGCATGTCCTGGCACACAGCCCAATTGAAGCATGAGCTCCAGCAGAAGTTTTACATTTAAAGCCGTTCTTTTGGCTTCAGAAATTTGCAGATTGAGGCTGAGAGTTGCAATTCAGCTGTTTGCTTGCAGATCTGCACCAGCCCTGCTGTGCTCTTGCCCTCACCTCGGTCAGGCAGTTGTGTTAACAGCATTTTCCAATTAAAGTAGCGGCCTCACTTACAGAAAATGCTTTTCCTATCTGGGCATTTATCTGATTTTATTGTCTTTTAATCACTCATGGAGCACAGAGCTGTTTTGTTCCCCATCCCTTATCATAATTAATCCATCATCATTTCTGGTGACAGGGCTTTTGCTGGATTTTTTTTAAATTTTGCCATTTCCAGCACCGCTCAGACACCCCATTCCTCATGGTGGGAAGCACTGATGTGAGTGATCAGGCAAATGTCAGGTGGACATGCAAGTCATGAAGTTCTGCTCACCCAGAGCAGGACAGAAGACACCCTGCCCTGGAGAGAGCCCTCCCAGAAAACCTCAGAGCCTTGCTGTGTAAACGATGGCCACTTCCCTGTCTGAAATGTTCCTGTCTAAAAGCTTCATTTTTTTAAGACCTCCACAGCCAAGATCAAGGCTTTTTACCATTACCTGGGCATTCTGGGTCTCCAAGAGAAGAAATGGTATCAGATGAACCTTCATCTTTCTTCGCAGTGCAGGGAGATGAGAGCTGCTTGTTTTCACTTCAGCTCCCTGAGGTGGACGTGCTGAGCTCCATCCTGCCTGTGGTACCACGAGCTCAGCAAGGGGTGAGGGGCGTGAAGGATCCTGTGGGGTGCAGTTGGGTTTAATGTGCTTTGTAACATGAGCACAGCAGTGCTTGGGCTGGGCCTGCAGGAGCTGGAGAAGGACCAGAAGCATTGACAAAAAGCAGGGCTTTTGGTGCTGACATCCTGTCCCAGGAGGCCTCAAAGCCCCTGTGTCCTGTGACATGTTCCTCCCAGGGTTTGAGCAGCTGCACTTGTCACTCTGGGCTTGTGCCCACCACGGTGACCCTCAAACGTTGAAGCCCCTCAGTTCTGCAGGGATCCTGTGAGGATGCTACAAACCACAGACTCCCAGACCAGGCAGCAAAGCCTTCTGCTGCCCCCACGTGTTCCTTGCTCATTATTGTTGCCACGCACCAGGAAAGACCTGGGAACCCTCTTGGCAAGGACGAGGAGGAGCCAGCACAGCCCTGCAGCTGCTGAGGTCAGGGATCTTGCTTTGGAAGATTCTTCTGTTCCTCCCTCAAGCTCAGGGCCTTCCCTCAGGCACCCTATATTTTAAAAATTGCAAAATCAGATTGGACAAGTTTGGATTTAGACAGGCTGGAGACAGCCTGGAGGCAGAGCAAAGACACAGAGGTGTCATCATCCTGCTCTGAAGGGGGGTGTGTGCACCCCCAGAGCCCTGAAGGGCTGTTTGTCCAACCTCCCACGATGGGAGCGATCGCAGAGACCGGCACGGCGCGGTCAGGCTCGTTGGCTCGGACCACGAGTAGCACAGAGACAGAGAGAGAGGCAGCTCCTGGCAGGCTGAGCTCCCATGATAAGGTCATTAGAAAGACAAGTGATGCTTTCATCAACCTGCCTTTCCCCAGCAGCATCAGCACCAGCTTGAGCAGGGACTGACTCTGTGCTCCTGCCATGCCCTGTGCTCTGTGCAGTGCCAAGCACAAAAGCTTCCTCACAGACACTTCAAAGCTGTTTCTCCACTGGTGTCTCAGCCCCCAGCTCCCATCCTTCTTGGCCCTGGTTCTAGCTTCAAACCATTAAAGGGCACCTTTTTGGCAGAGTTCCATTCCCTCTGGATCAGTGGCACCTCTCAAGCTGAGGGGAGAGCAGTCTGTAGTTGTTGACTCTCTGCTGCTTCCCAGCAGTTATAATTTGGAATCTCGTGGTTTGTTGAGCAATCCTTTGTTGGGGCAGCACATGCTAATTGTTCTGGAGAGCATCAATCCCAGAAGCTGCCTGGAGCCCGGGCTGACAGGTTGGTGGTAGCAGCCAAGCTCTCACATGGAACCAGTTTGTGTCTCGATGGTTCTGACCATCCCTGACACAGCCCCTCAGAAAGGAAGGGTTGGCTCTTTGCCATCCCTTCACCCAGAGCCTTTTTGGCCCTGGCACCATTAGCAGATGGGCCTGAGCTGATGAGCATTGTCCACAGGCTGCCCTGGACACTGCCTGGAGCTCCCTGAGAACATCTGAAGGGAACAGCACTCCCTGGCAGGGCTGACGTGCTCCGGCAGTCGGGGATTGCAAACACATGCTCCAGCTATGCGAGAAATCTTCGACTTGTTCTGAATGCAACTCTGCCTGGGTTCCTTCCCAGGAACATTCCTGTTCTTCACAATTTACCAGTTGCAGGAAGAGAGGAGGGGGAGGAGGGATTTTAAGAGTAAGGGAGAGGAAAGGGAACAAATCTCACAGTGCTTTCCCCAGCCAAATTCCTCCAGAAGGACAGGGTGTGGGGCGTGGACTCCAGAGAGTCTGGCACCGTCCCAAGAAAATATGAACTACAAAATCAAAACCACTCTTAATTAGTCATTTGTTTTTATATAAAGAATTAAGTCTCTCTTTTTCTGAAGTAATTCAGTGCCTGCTATCACACAAACCAGGCAGCCCCTGCCAAGTGGAGCTGTGTGATAGAAGGAGGGCTCTGAGCAGGGCCACGATATCTCCTGCAGGAGACAGCAGAGCTGCTCAGATCTGCATCCTGCCCATTCCCGAGATAAAAGGATCCTTCCTCACAGCCACAGCACACGTGAGGCAGCTGCAAATGTAGTTCTTGTAGGTAGCAGTAATTTGATGTCTGAGCAGGGGATGAATGATGGGCTGGGGCTCTGTCGTCACACCTGCTCTGGTACAGGAGGCAAAGCGTGAGAGAGGGTGGGGCAGGAGCTGCTGCAGAGGTTCAGGGTACCCAGCTGCTCACAGCTCGCTCTCAGGGTGACAAATCCCTCTTCTCATGCCAGCAGCAGCAGGGCCCTGCCTGGGGAGGGCAAGGTGCAACCTGATGGCACCAAACATGCACTCTGAGCAACCTCCAATAGCTCGATTAACTGCAGTAAGTATATTCCTGTAACTAATTTAATTTAACTGAGGTTTTCTCCCCTGTGTTGGGTGCCTGCTGTATCAGCCTCTTAGACTCACAGTGTATGTAATTCAAATGTACATCCAGTACCCACATAAGATCAGTCACTGCAGGCACCAGGGAGGGGATTATTTTGTGATGCTTGGCTCATCCTTCTGCCTTAACACAGGGGTGGCTTCACTGAAGTTGGTTGTGTTGCATTAGCCCAGAGCAAAGCCCAGCATTTATGCATTATTTGCAATAGAGGCATCATCATTTCTATGTCCTGAGCATGGCTGAGGTTTGCTCCAGCTGCCTTCCCAGTCTCCCACAAGGAAACAATGAAATGAAGAAAGGAATACTCATCTTTTTCTCTTTACATGTATATAACCCAGAAGTGTTAGCAGACTTCTATTGCCTTACAGTGCTGTATGGGAGCCTTCTCCTGTATTTGCTAAACTAAACAGGAATAATTAGTTGATATGAAGCAGATGCTCAATAATATTTTCTGTAACTGCTCTCCATCTCAGGATGGGAGATCACAGCTTGTGAGGGTCCCCCCCTTCATCTTTTATATCCACTGTACACTCTATATTTGTGTTGGTAATGGCCCATATGGCTGTGAAGGAACAGGGTGAATGATTTCACTCTGCCTTGCTTTGATTAATCCCAAATTATGGATCAAGTCACCATTAATGATGGCCCAGGTGATTTATGAATGGCAATTGTTATTCCTGCTGGCCCTGAACAGTTGGGAACTGTCAGGTGGCATCCTGAGCAGCTGGAGCCCGAGCATCCCTTGGCACTGCTGACAGAGGAGTGCAGGGATGTGTGAAATGGCCCAGCTCTGCACAGGTGAGCTCAGGGAACACCTGCACAGCAGGGACAGGAGCTGCTTTCTGCCAGTCACACCTGAATTTATTCGTTCCCCAGGGGTGGAGAGCAGGCTGTCACCGAGGGATCTGACATTCAAATGACAGATTTTATCGCAGAGCTTAGAAGGGCTGCAGAAAGAGGAGCAAAGAACTCACGAGGATTCTGCGTCTGACACTTTGGAAACTTCTGAAGTGAGCCTGAAAAAAAACCAAGAGGGACAAAACCAAAGTGATGGAGGAGAAGAGCAACTCTGGATCTGAGCAAGAGCTTCCAGGAATCACAGGGCCACGAGGAGAGCCCTGTCCCAGTTTATTTGGAGAGCCCCAGCCAAGACCTTCAGGAAAGTTTGGATTCTTTGTCACAGAGGGATTAACTCTGCTGTGCCCTGGGAAGGAGCTGGCATGGATGTGAAGGCCAGATGGTGCCCAGCATCACCCCAACCCTTGGGCTGAGGGAAAGACCTCAGTTCTGGTGCCCCCTGCTCTGACCTGAGCCAGGGGTAGGAGGATTTCTTGCTCGAGATCAGGGCACGTCTGACCCTTGTGTTGGTTGAATGTGGGTAAATGACTGAACCATTGAGCTCTCAGACAGACTCCACTTGTTTGGGGCTTTGCAGCTCTCACAGTCTATCAGCTAAGGACAAAAATATTCCAATTATTTGGAATGACGACATCATCCACACAATTGACCCGGAGCCAACAATAGCACTCCTACAAAGCAGTTATTTCTTGTTAAGCACTATCAAGGACAAGTAAGCCCAGAATTATCTCCCCCATGTTTCCAGATCACCTCAACAGTTGTGTTTTCCAGTTTTGAGCAGCTTACCCCGAGCAACCTGGATTTGTTTGACAAAATGTGATTATTACTTGTAACTTTTGAACTTCAGTAGTCACAGAGGCCCGTAAGTGGCTCAGGGAAGGAGTTTTGGCACATCTCATCTAGTGCCTTCACTTGCAGAGCCCTCTCCAGCACACTAAATCCCTATCTGTTGGGTCAGAAAACTGCCTGAGCTGGCTGAGCCCCAGAGCCACCTGCTGATGGCACAGACCAGGGATGGAGGGAAGGGAATCCTAATCCCTGCTCGGGGATGGGGTGCTGGCTCAGCCCCAGCCCTGCCTGGAAGAGCAGCCCTGCCGAAATCCCTCAGCCCACAGAGGTGTGTGGGCAGGGGAGGGTTGTGAGGGAGCAACGGCTGCTGCTTGAAAAACAACAGTGATGCTTGGACAGGTGTGTGACATGGACCAGGGCAGTGACACCACACCCGGGCTGTACAGGTGAGATGTCACAGGGCAGTGATACCACACCCAGGGCCATACAGGTGTGTGACATGGGCCGTACAGGTGTGTGCCATGGGCCGTACAGGTGTATGACGTGGGCCGTACAGGTGTGTGACATGGACCAGGGCAGTGACACCACACCCGGGCTGTACAGGTGAGACGTGTCACAGGGCAGTGATACACACCCAGGGCCATACAGGTGTGTGCCATGGGGCCGTACAGGTGTGTGCCATGGGCCGTACAGGTGTGTGACATGGGCCGTACAGGTGTGTGACACCCCCGGGCCGTACAGGTGTGTGACATGGGCCGTACAGCTGTGTGACGTGGGCCGTACAGGTGTGTGACACCCCCAGGCCGCACAGGTGTGTGACACCCCCGGGCCGCACAGGTGTCACGCGTGTCCCTGTACGGTGTGTGACGTGCCCCGGGCTCGGTCCCGCCCGGCGCGGCCCCTTTAAGTGAGGCCCCGCCCTCGCTCCGCCCGCACCTCCCCCTGCCCTTCCCCGACGCCCATTGGCCGAGCGGCGCTGGGACCCCGCCCCCCGGCGGCGCCAGCCAATGGGAGGAGCGCTGGGTGAGCCCGTGGCCAGGTCGGTGAGGGGCCGATGGCGGCGGGTTCGTGAGGGGGGCGCGGGGCTGGGGGAGAGGGGAGGGAGCGGGGACACCCTGAGGGGAGGGGGGACACCCTGAGTGGAGAGGGGACACTCTGAGGGGAGAGGGGACACCCTGAGGGGAGGGGAGGGACAGTCTGAGGAGAGAGGGGAACACCGTGAGGGGAGGGGGACACCCTGAGGGGAGAGGGCACACCCTGAGGGGAAGAGGGACACTCTGAGGGGAGCGGGGACACTGTGAGGGGAGCGGGACTCCTGGGAGGACCGGGAGTCCCTTTAAGTGCTGAGGGGAGCGGCACCCCTGAGGTGCCGTGGGGAGCCGGGCACTCTGAGGGGATGGGGGGATCGGGATCCCGGGGGGGATCGGGACCCCCTGAGGCTCTGGGGGATCTCGGGACACCCTGAGGGGCTCATGGACGAGTTTGTCCCTCTGGAGAGGGCAGTGTGTGGGGGGAGGCCGAGGTGGCCCGTCCTGAGTGTGGGTGCCCTGCCCGGTGCTAATTAATGCCATTAAATGGCCGTGGTTTCGCCTGAAGAATCCATTAGGGGTTAGGGGAAAGAATATTAAGGTCAGTGGGGTCCCATGAGAATGTGAGGTTTTCTTATGTGTACCCGGCCCTGACAACAAATTGTTTGTGGAGTTGAGGATTGAAGAAAACAAAAAATAACAACCGGCAGCTGCAGGCTGAGCAGTAATTAAAGTGCTCGGGCAGGTTCTTGTCTTTATGCAGCGAAATGGCCTTGTCAGTCAGGTTGAAGTTAAGTGTAGCTTGAGCTGTCCTTATTAAAAAAAAAAAAAAAAAAAAAAGTTAAAATGTGCATTTTCAAAGTGTAGAGAACTAAGGACTTAAGGAAAGGTGGCTAAAAGGATAATTTAGTTGAGTGTTTTGGTAGGATCTGATATGTTCCATGGTTTTTTTACTATAATGAAAGATACTTCCCTCCAAGTGATGCTGTTGCTTTTTAAATGAAATTATAAAAAGTGCCTTTTAAAATGTGCGAAGTGGTTTTATGGGGTGTTTTTTGCACAGGCAGACACGAAAGAAAAGGTTGGGAAATAATCTCCTATAATAATAATTAAAAATGTGTTACTACTGTGATAATAATAATAAATAATCTACTGTAATAATGTATAGCTGCAGTTTGTACATAAGTTTTCTGATATGACTGTTAGAATGGGACTTTTACCCTTGGAAAGAGGCAAGGGTTGTGTGTTCACACCCTGCTGTGCTTTCTGTGCATCCTCTGAATCTCCCGTGCTGAGAACTAAACACTGGTACTGGAGGGAATTAAAAACGTCTGCTTTTTGTTCCAGGTGCTGGTGAAGAAGATGAGGCTGAATGAGAGCCGGACAAGATCCTTCCAGGCTCCTGTCACGGTCCACAACTACCCGGGCAGGCAGGTCTACGTGTTCCCTGATGGCCCATCCGACTCGGAGGAGTCCTCGGAGGAGGAGGAGCTCAACGTCATGGAATTGCGGCCCCGGGGGAAGGAGCAGCGGGGCAGGGACAGGGACAGGCCTGCAGAGGTGGTGCTGCTGGAGCGGGAGCTCACCGAGGGGGACAGCCTGAACAAGCTGGCCCTGCAGTACGGCTGTAAGGTAAGAGCCTGCTCTGGGGGGGGGTTATCACATCAGAGCTGTTCCATGGGGGCGTCACTTTCCACAGTGACTGGGGGCTGTTCTGGTGTCTGACAGTTCTGGCACTGAAAATACGCTGTGTGTTTCATGAATGGCCAATATCTGGGGGAAACTGGAGAAAGGCAAAAAAATCCCAAGCAAGCACAAAAAAAAGAGTTGCTCAGCCAACAGCTGAGGAAGGTGTTGTCAGCCTCACACCCTGCCTGGCCTGCTTTCCTGTTTGGTTTGAGTGACTAAGTGCAGGTTGTGCTACCTCATTTCAGGGAGGGCAGACATTGGGAAGCTGAGCTCAGGAATGAGGGTCAGGGCTCTGCTCCCAAGGAACACGAAGAGTTTTTGCAGCAAATAAAGAAAGCAGTGCAAAGAAACACCACTGGGATAGGTCTGGCCCGGAGTGGGACTGGGGGTTATTCTTCCAAAGGTATCAGCTTACAAGCTGCAAGGAAGGTGTGAGTGTGAGGGGTGGAGCTGGAGAGGTGCCAAGGTTCAGGTCCCAGAGTCCAGGTGCTGTCTGTGTGCGGGTTTTGGTTGGTTGCTGTCGTGCCCAAAGTGCTCCATGGGCTGCCTGCGGGCAGGAGGGAGGGTGTGCAGGGTGAGCTGCCTCCCAGCTGGAACACTGCACAGTGTCTTCCCTTTGCTCCAAAGCAGGGCACTTCATAGAAAAACTGTTGAAAAGTTTGATTACCTGCTCTGAACACGAGAAGCCCCCCCTTGTTTAGCAGTCGGAGCTGCATTTTTGGAGCCTCCTTTATCTGCAGGCTGGGCTGTGATTCGAAAGTTCCGTGATGCAAACAATTGGACAGAGACCGGAGTGGGATGATGATACGGCTCTGGCTCTGCTGCTGCACTGCTATTGCAGTTGGTCTTGCTTCACCACAAAGCAGCTGCTGGTGCAGCTGAGGCAAGAGGGCTTAGAGGGATTGCAACAATTCCTCCCCTCCCATTCCCTTAGAAACAAACACAAAACAAAAAAAGGTGCCCGTGTAGGTTCTGCTGAGGGGCCTGGTGCATGTGGAGAAGAGTCTGGGAGGACTTGAATAGGCCTTGATTGGCACCAGGGGAGCCTGGGAAAGCAGAGCTGCAGCTTTGCTTGGCTTTGGAGCTGTCACCGAGCACTCCTCTCTCAGCAGCTCTTGTGTCGCTGCCACTTGGGCACAGTCACAGCAGGCTGTGAGCTCAGAGGAGGAAGGTTCTGAACAGCTCTTTGGTTTATGGCATGAAAAGTCCTGCTGTGCCCTCTGGCACCGTGACTCAGAGGAGGAGTCCCTGCTGTGGCTGCTCAGCTACCTCTGCTGCCCCATCCCTGCCCCACCTGAGGGCTGCTGGGCCCGTCCAGAGGGAAAGAAACCTGGTGGGGATGGACCAGGTAGTCAGGTGTTCTCCTCCCACAGGAGAAGAACTGTCCTGCTGCCTCCCTGCCTTCCAGAAAGGGCAATCCTGACTAGTTCAGTTAAATGGGAGAGGTACAGAAATCTTTATCCTGGGAGCTCTGTGTATGTGTCTGTTTACAGGCACTGCTCACGTTTCCTGCGTTTTGTTTTATTTGCACAATTAACCAGCTCCTGAAAGGCCCCCAGGACAGCAGTGAGGAAGAACTGTAGCCACAAATACATATGCAAATGTGTTTAAAAAACCCAGGACGAACTTCTCCTTGAAATCAATGAGAACTTGACATTGGTCTCAGAATCTGCTTGGGGACAGGGTATGAAGAGAGTGCAACAAACAGCTGTGTGTGTGTATGTGCCACAGATAACTTGGCAGAGATGGAAAGCACTTCAAAATCCTCATTTTTACTCTTGACCATTTATAGTCCTGGCTTGCTTTTGGCATTGTTCATAGCTGGGACAAGAGCAGCAAACTGCAGCCAAAAAATGAGTACAGAAAATAAACCTAAAAGGCTTGTGCAGCCCAGGCTCTCCAATGCTTCCCATCAGCTTTGTTTGTTGTTTCTGTGTGAGTGCTGCTCCACTTTCTGTTTCTAGAGCCCCAGCACAGCACTGCAGTGTTTGATTGCAGACACCACGGGGGGATATTTACTGTCCCACTAATTTGTTTTCATTGGAACAAACCCAGAAATTGAAGCAGCACCTCAGTTGGGAGGCTTTGGGTGAGATTGTTATTTCATACCCAAGAAGCTGTGCAGGGTTCAAGTGCAGGGGTTACGCTGGGGCAGCCTGGGAGGAGCCTGAACCAGCAAAGGAGGATTCCTTTTGCCTCGGGGGCCCCAGCTCAGGACCTGCTTTAAATGGGCAGTTTTCAGAGTTCTCAGGCTTTGCAGAGTGAGGTTGAGGCATCCATCTCATCTCTGCCTTGGGAAGTGCTTGGGAAGTGAAGTGCTGTTTTGTTTCAGCTCCCCAGTTTCCTTGGCAGCCTCGAGTGAGTGCCCAGTGAATGCAGGTCATCCTGTGATCTCTGACAGAGCAAGGCACAGTCCCCACACTGTCTGCTCGGTGTGATGGAGCAGAGGTGGTTTAGCTGCTTGTGTTGCCTTTCTCCTTGGCTTGGGGTCTGGCTGGTTTGTTTTGTGTCCTCAGCCTTTCCCTCAAGGTTCTTTCACATCTCCTTGGCTGCTGTGGAGAGCTCTTTGCGCACTTGACATCCTGTTTGTCTTCTCTGGCAGAGGGTTTAGGGCAGCCGAGAAGTTGATGCACTTATTGGGTGGCTGTGAGTGAACACTGTGTTAATTTTAAGCATCTCTTATTTAAGTTAAATTAGGAAGTACTACCTTGCCTTTGCCTTTGCTTTGGGACTGACCCTGTGACTGACTCTGCACGTGTGGCTCGTTCTTTCTTGCTCTTCCCACTGCTGGGTGGGAATGTGGGTCACAGAGGGGAACTCTGCACAGGAACCCCCAGAGTCCATCTCAGGGGCACGGGGGTGTTTCCCCTCAGCAGGAGCCCTGAGCAGCTGTGCAGGAATGAGCTGGGTCACTGCTGTGCTGCACAGGAGAGGGGGTGCCTGGGCACGGGATGCTCTGCCCGTGTGGGAGATGCTCACCTGCACGCCAGGTGGGACCTTGATTTCAGAGGTGGAGCTCTGCTCACTCTGAAAGCACTTTCTGAGCAGGAGGGTTTGGACTGCTGGTACTGATGTTGTCCTCTCACCTTAAACATCGCTGTGTATTTAAAAAGGATCTGTTACAAAGACTCTTCTTGCCTTAACTTGGAAGGTAAGTGAGGGAAGAGCAGAGAAAGCAAAGGGAAGGAAAAACAGTACTAAGCGAAGTACAGCAGATACAAGAGCACCAGAGGAGGGTATAGGCTGCTTTAACAAGGGACTGGCCTTCTCCTGCAGGCTCTGGAGCCCCCTGAGCTGGGAATCTCTGCAGAACCCCAAGCCAGTTGCTTTTATTCTCTGACAGCTGCTCGCTGGTTCTGGAGCTGCTTCCTGCTTCGGTCCCGGGCTGTGCTGCACTAACACCGATGTCCTTTGGGTTCTGCAGGTCGCCGACATCAAGCGGGTCAACAACTTCATCCGGGAGCAGGACCTGTACGCGCTCAAGTCCATCAAGATCCCGGTGAAGGCGCACGGGCTGCTCACCGAGGGCAGGCAGGAGCTGCGGCCGCTCCCTCCGGCCCAGCCTGGATTGACCCGCGTGGAGCTGCCGGAGCCCCAGCCCAGCACGGGCGGATCCAGCGGCCAAAACCTCAGCGACTACTTCAGGGACATCGACCAGAGCATCCAGGACGCCGTGCAGGTGGAGGTGCAGCTGAACACAGAGTACTGTGGGGAGCCACTGGAGAGGCCTCTGCCCGAGCCAGGGAAGCGGGACACCGGGAACGGTGCGGACTGCGGGATCCAGTGGTGGAACGCCGTGTTCATCATGCTCCTGATAGGAATTGTGCTGCCAGTATTTTATATCATCTATTTTAAGACACAAGGCCTGGTGACCCACACTTCCAATGCAACAGTAACCTCAAATGTTTCAACAGCTGGATTGGAAGGGAAATTACCACAAAGCTCAGCTGTAGGAAAAAAGTCCTAAGGGGAGAGGGGAGACCCCTCCAGCCTCTCCAGCAGTGGTGCCCACACGCTCGTGACTGACCCAAGTGCATCCAGGGGGATATAATGATACAGATAATTTTTATTTTTATAAGTAGCTGATGATGGAATCCTGAACTTGACTGAAAGTGAGGTGATGTGATTGTGACGGAAAAATAAGGATGATTTGTTGCTTATGCAGATCACTGAGCAGGTGGCTCAAGAGTTGGGAACTCTGCTGAGGGAAAGTATTTTGTAGCATTTTACTCAATGTGATTGCTTCAGGTGTTTCTTAATGCCGTGTCTGGAAGCAAATCCTTTGCTGCTGAGCTAGAGAGTGCAGTATTAATGTGCTTGGAAAGCTGGGGGTTGTTTGCATTTTAAGGAAACACTTTTTGCTGGAGCAGCACTTTTTGCTGCTCTTTTACTGGGAGCTGTTGTTTTTATCTCTTGCAGACCGTGGTGGTTTTGGCTTAACCCTAAACTGATGGCTCTAAGCTGGGACAGCCCCTCATCCTCCTCCTGAGCAAACAGGGCTGGGTTTATTAGGCTGATGTCAAGCCCCTCCCCAGGATGATCCCAGACCTCTCCCCTGCAGGAAACCCCTCAGGGATGGGATCTCGGTGCTGGATCCGCGCTGTCCCCAGGGTGCAGCCCGAGCCAGCCCTGCCACTGCAGAGGGGGCTGGAGGAGGATCTGGGAGCAGGGAGAGGACTTGTACACTCTTCTCAAGGGCTCTTCTGTTGGCAGGGGGGTCTAGTCAGTATTACTTGTTAAAAACACTAACAACAGTCTATAGTGGTGCATCTCAGACACCCGATTCCAGTCACGGGCTGGGTTTCCCTGTGTGCAGATTTCACAGGAGCAAAGTGTCCCACACAGGGTGCAAGGGCCAGGGCAGAAGCCCAAGGCACAGAAAGAAGGGACAGGACTGAGCTGATGGTGACACGTTCTGTGACCTGCAGATGTGCATTACAGAACTGCTGAGGGTGCAGGAAGAGTGGTGGAGCCTGGGAGGGCAGAGGGCTGTGCTCTCCAGGTGGGACACTGAACATCGCAGGGAGGAGCAGCAGGGAGGCTTTGGGAGCTTTGCTGCAGAGCACAACTGGCCTCAGAAATTGGATGCATCAATTCCAAGCCTGCAGGCAGAGGTAATTCCAGGCCTTCCTGGAACCAAACACTAAGGGATTTCCACCCCACACAAGCAGCACTGTGTGATGTTACAATGACAACCTGCAGCTCTCAAAAAAAGCGCTCGGGAAAGCCTGAGGGAACCTAATTTTGTACACGAGGACTCCAAAGTATCTTATACTGAACAAAAACTTGTATTTTTCTTCTGTGAAGAGCTGTATCTCTTTGTTCTGGGGGCGGGGGGGGGAATTTCTTACATTTTTAAATAAAGCCACATGAAATAATAAAAGCACAAGGGGCAAAACTTGTGCCTTTTTTTTTTTTTTTGTTCCCACACTGCACAGTGCTGAGCACCTGCCCCAGGACGATCCCTCAGCACCCACTGCAGGCACCAGGAGTGGGAGCAGCAGAAGGAAAGGTGAGTGTCCAGAGGGACAGGAGGATGGGGCTGGACCCAGGTTTTTCTTTTTGTTAGAAGGTTCTTACCAAGCATTAATTTTTTACCTTGAGTGTAGTAACAAGTGTGTGTGTATATCCCAAAAAAATCCCTGTTGATTTTAATCTCTTCAGTGCAGTTTAAAAGCACAGCCTGACTGAAGAGGACACCTGGAGGGGGCACAGACACGCCAGACAGGACCACGAGAGAGGCTGGAGTACACAGTAAAAGCCAGTATCTTTACTTTAGTGAATGCAGGATACAAATATTTTACAACAACCTCTAGCATTTTTCTTAACCATTTGATAAAAAGTTCACTAGAATATTTATTGTATATTGAAGAAAAAACAACACATTCAGGGAAAAAAAATTGAGATTAACTTATTTTTTTTTTTTTCTTAAAAGATTCGTCTCAAGGATGGCAACAAAGTCCAGCTTGTGCCGCCAAACGGCTTATCAGCATTAAACCGTGAACAGCTTCTTTGTGAACTGTTGACTACAAACATTTACCAAATACATAAATCTCTTTTAAAAAAGCCATTTTAAATATAGCAAAGCAGTGTTTCTCTTGCACAGCAAAGTGAAGAAAGGTTCTACTAAGATTTAAATGTTTACACTGGTTAAGTCTTTCTTTCACATTCGGATTTCACTTCTGCCCAGGATCAATTGTTAGGAGTTGTTTTGTTCCTTATTTACTATGTATTTCTTGTGCGCACAGTAACTCGGAGTTCCTGCTGCATTAGTGTCCTTGAGGGGAGGGCAAGGCTAAAGCAGTTCTGACGAGTCCCTGACAACGTGGCGTTCCCAAAACTACCGTGAGAGCTCGAGGATGGAGGTGATTTGTCACAACAGAGCTAAAAATCTTAAATCACTCAGACCTGACTGGGTTCAGCCCAGGGTTGGATCCACTTGCACTTCAGTCAGCAGAGAGAGAATTTAAAAAAGTAGTATTATTATTTTTTTTCACCTGTTGAAATATCTGTGCTATGTCATAATTATTTTTTTTCTTTTTATAAAACATTTTTTTTACAATTTCTAAAAAAGTACGTTCCAAAGTGAGTTACTTGTTACTAAAAACCAGGATTCCCATTTCCTCGATGGCAGGAGCTGCTCCCCAGGACGGGAGGGCTGTGGAAGGACATTTGTGCCGTGGCTGGGGCAGCACAGGGCCAGTCCCCAGCCCGGCTCTTTAGAACTTTGATTCTTTAATACTCTTTTTTTTAATTCATTGGTGCAATTTCAGTACAAACTCTAACCCTTGTGTAGCTTTGTCTTTAAGAAAACAGTAATAATACTGTTTAAAAACCTGCATAGAAATAAAGACTATTGAGATACAGTCAGCAAAGCCATCTGATAAGGCACACAAGAAAATAGACAGTAAATGTGAATGCAGAACTCCCACTCGATGTACAGCAAAGGTCATACAGGTGCATAAATCATGGAACTCACACCACTGGTCGGAGCAGCAAAAGGTGCAGGGGGTGGCAAGTGAATTGGGTCACTGGGAGCACAGAGGCCTTGACCCCACGCCCTGTGAGCCAGTACCATCCCAAACTAAAGGGATCCAGGTCCAGGGAAGGGGCAGGAAGGGACTGGAGCCTGGCAGATTTTCCGCTGCCACGATGGGGGATGAGCTGGAGGTGCCGCCTGATCCCCTCTCCCAGCTCCTGTCACAGCCTGGGGCACTCACCATTACACACAGATGAAGCCCAAGCAGAAGTTTAATAAATACCAGGGATAACCAGGAAGGCTGGATAATCCCACTGCAGTTTCCTCCCCAGCACCAGCACTGCCAGCCTGGAGGCGACCGGGACAGGTGGGATCAGGGCCCCAAATCCAACACCAACCCAGCACGAGGGGGCTCTGGATCCTCCTCCTCTCTCTTGGAAGCAGCACATTTTTCCCAAACCACTTGCCAACTCACAAAACCTTTTGTGCTCCTCTGATATGTGTCATTTCCCTATCATGAGAAATTAGGTCAAGTTTTTCCACTGGTTTTTTTTTTTTTCCTCCCTCCTCAGAAGAGGCAGCTTTAAAATGATGCCTTAAAATGTGTTGTAACAGATTTTTTTTTATATATATATTTATGCAGGATGAACTTAACACCGGATTTTTCTTTTTTTTTTGCCACTTTGCTATTTATATACATATATATAAAATGTATAATGAAGCTTAACCATACAGCACAGAGATTACAACTGAACGGCACACATTCACCACCAGTGAGGGGGCCAACCCCTTTATACACCCTCTGAAAAATCTGGATAATAATATTAATAATAATTAAAATCCAAAGAAAGTACAGTATATTTAACAAAATAGTAAATATTAAACAGTGAATACTCTACTTAATAAGGACCTCGCCTTGTTTCAAGTTGGCGTCAATCCACAAAAATATACTTTTTAATCTGGTGACCGTACAATACATAGGTACTTACACCAAAGGTGATAATATATTTAGGATGCTATATACACAAAGAGTTTGGCTCAAATTTAAATTTACATATAAGTGTTCATGGCTTATTTTTCCCCCAAGGTTCCGCCTGCAAGTTTTTCCTTTTCATCTTTGAAAGCAAAAACTAGAAAGTCAAAATAAGATAAAACTATACTCTACAAAAAAGCTACAACATACAGCTTTGGCTTATATAAATAATTCATAGCAGAATGTGTTCAAAAGTACTGTATATAACTTTATATATAGTCTTCAATTCATTAGGGTATTGTTTTCTTTAATATAAAATATACATGAGCTAAAATCCGTTTCTATATTTTTCAAAGGTATGAACGTAAAAACAAATTTGTCAAACATATTCCAATTATAACTTAATATATTAATTTTATTTTGTTAATGTTCTATTTTCTAGGCTAATATTTTCTGAATATTTCATGCGAGTTCTCTATGTCTCTCTTTTCACTCATTAAAAAAATCACTTCTTTGACCCAATACACTATTTTTTTAATTTTTTTTTTTTGCACGTGCAAAACAGGGTTCTTGTTTTTTTGGTTTTTTTGTTTGTTTTTTTAACTTCTTATAGCATCAGCCCTTCTCCATGCACCCTCTGCAATAGAGACCCATGCCAGGTTGGGTAATAAAAGGTCAGTTTATGTACAGTATTGCTTTCTTCTTCCTGCTTTTCTACTGCTCTGCTGCTACAAAGCAATTATTTCTTAACTACGAGTAACCATGAGCTGAACTAACACACAGGGACGGTACTACAGGCGAGCCCTGGGCTGTGGAGGAGGAGGAGACACTGCGGGGACAACGCTCTGCCGACGGCTGGGGCCAAACACAACTCCAGGGAGGTGCCAGACTAGATCAAACCTACGGGATTGTTCTGCTTTACCAGGGGACATCTGCAGCTATACACGAGTTTGTCGTAAGTGCCTGATGATCGGTGTATGCTACACACACTAGCACATATATATGCACGTGGAGATATATATATGCACGTATGTATATACATATAAATAGACTTCGTCACGTCCTTATTTATAAGTGTGGATATGTCAGGACAGTCCGTGCTGGGGACGGCAGGGCTGGCCCCGCGGCTTTTATGTCACCCACGTGTCCATCCTCATCCGTTTTACCGAGGGGCTCTCCCGCTCCTCGGCGTTGGGCGGCCGCCCCAGCACCACGGGCGAGTGGAAGTCGCTGCGGGGATCCTCGCGGTCGCTGCCGTCGTAGGAGCTGCTGGAGCTGCTCAGGCTGTCGACCGGGGAGCGCCCCAGCTCCTGCCGCGACGGCGGCGGCGCCGGCGGCTGCTGCGGCTGCGGCTGCTGCGGCGGGAACCCCGAGGGGGTGACGCGGTCCCGGGGAGGGGAGATGGGTTCAGACTTGATGTTGATGTTTTGGTTGGTGTTGATGGAGAGGTTGGAACCCTGAGATATCTGGCTGCCAGTGCTGGGGAGAGAGCGCGGAGAGGCACGAGTGAGAGAACGCGGAACGCGGGCGGAAAGCGGCAATTCAGGTGTGTCTGAGGGGGTGGCCCTGGGGCTCAGCACCCTCCAAATGCGCCTCCCTGAAGTCAGAACAACGCTGGAAAACACAGGTCTGAGCTGCATTTACAGAAGTTCAGAACACACAGAGAGATTTCCCACTGTCAAACACTCCGGTTCACCAGCAGGTGCCTCCCTGGGAAGAAGCTGGGCCTGCAGGGACCCCTCAGGTGTTTGACCGAAGGGAGGGGAATGTTTTGCAGCACAGACAGGAAGGTGAGAGGGGTCAAATGCTGAACCCCCTGTGCAGATGGTGCAGCTGGAGGAGGCAGCACCCCCAGGGCCACGGTACTTACACGAGGGAGCTGAGGGCCGCGGGACCGAGGTGGTGCTGCTGCCAGGCAGACACCTGCCCCAAGGACAGCATTCCTGGGGAGTTGAACCCCTGCAGGGCAGACAGGTCTGCACTGGTCAAGGAGTAATCTAAGGGGAAACAAACAAGAGTCATTTAGGGATTTATGTATATACACACAGATGTATAAATACACAAGAGTTTATGTGTTACACCTACAAAGGCTTTCTGCCCAAAACAAATACAGGCAACTGATCCACAGGAATCCAAACATGGAAACTCTGAAGTCTGGGAGAAATCCTCCCAACCTCCCAGGGAGCTTGACAGGACAGAAGGCTCCAAAAGACAAGCTTTTCTGCTTTCAGTTCCTACGTGTTGCTCAGAGCTTCTTGCAAACCACAGGTACAACAGATTTATGCATTTTATGTATCCAGATGTGCACCTGACAGTAACACTGTTCACACTTCGAAGGGTTTTGTCTGCATGGACATTTCAAAATGAACCTCTGGGAAGGCAGGACAGGGGCTGGGTGCCCGAGGGACAGCAGGGCCAAAGTCACTGCCAAGGGACCCCTCAGTGCAGTCTCACTGCACCACATCACACCCTCCCCTCCCCACAGCGTCACTCCTGAATCTCTGACTAAACTGGCATCTCCACATCAAATAAACAAAAGAAACCTCTTTTCTAAAAGTAAAAACACATCATGTTTTAGAACCAGTGACTCAGTTGGTTCTGGCCCTTCTCTGCAGAAGGAACACTTCTCCAGCAAAGCACATTATAGGATATTTGTGGAAAACTGATACCCAGTGTTTTAATTAAGGATCCAAGAGCTGAATCTCTCCCTTCCAGCCCTGGAGAAGAAAAACCCCATCAATCCAGAAAAACAATTTAGGTACTGAAATTTTATCTTAGTCCTTGAACTGCAAAGCTGGAATTGCTACGTAAGTGGTGACTGCCCTGAGAATCCCCAGATGACAATTTGGTTTCAACATCAAATTTCTTCCTGCAAATCCCCTGAAAGGCTCAATCTAATAGAAATGACTCTGAAGTGTGTGAAAACCACTAAAGGCTGAAAGCTTTGCACAAATTATTGCATTATCAGAGGAAATGGGCTGGGCTGGGCTTTAAAATCACATCCCAGCGACACCAGTTCCACTGTCTTTGCTGCTCCCTGAGGTTCCCGCTGCATGTGTGAATCTCCCAGGTTATTCTGGATGAGGGATGCACCCAGTGCTGCTTCCTGAAACATCAGCCTGTGAGGGAACAGAGGGATCTGTCAGGCAACAGGGGATCCTCAGCGTGGGGGGAAAGACCATAAATGAATTTCCCAAATCAGGGACTCCTGGTGATGCTCCTCCTTGCAGGAAACAAAGACAACAAAACCTCTCAATCCCTCAGCTTTTGGCCATTTTTGTACAAACCTTGAAGGTTGCTGTGATTTGTCCCAATCTTTGCACAAAACAAGACCACGAGGTCACTGCCAACCAACACAACAACCAACAACATCACCCCAGGGGGCAGCAGCAGGTCCTTTGGAGCTGTCTGCACTGCCCTGTTCCTGGAGGAGCCACCCCTGCAGCAGGTGTGTCCCTGTCCCCCTTCCAAAATCCCAAACCCTGAACACTTAACATCTAAAGAACAGCAAACTGGGGGATTATTTCCTCCACCACTGCCCTGGGTACCTGTGCCAGGGCTGGACAACCCTTTTGGTGAAGGAATCTTTCCTAAAATCCAACCTAAACCTCCCCTGGTGCAACTTGAGGCCATTTCCCTTGTCCCATCACTCAGGAGCTACTTCCCAAACCAGCAAACCAACTTACCACTGTTACATCACCCAGTTCCTCACATCACACCCAGCCTGGGCAAGAGCAGATTTAGGGTCCTGCAGGAACAGCAGCTCTGTTTGTGAGGCATTCCAGTATTCCTGGACTGGCTGGATGGCTGGAATGGCGCTGCTCTGGGCAGAAGATGTCCCTGTCTCTCCCTGTCCCTGGCTTGCAGCCTGACTGGAAGCTCCTTCCCCGTGGAAGTCCCAACATTCACACATTTCACGAGCAAAAGGCTCAGTTTTGATCAATGAGAGCTTCACTCAGATCAAACAGGAAAACAAAGCCACGAGTCACAGAAATGCCAATGCCCTGGGCTAATGAATCCCAAAAAAGCCTTGGCCATCCCAGTCCCAGCCCTGATCCCAAGCCTTCCAGTGCTGCAGATCCCAATCCAAGCCTTACCAGTGTTGTAGGCCGTGGGCATGGCCGAGTACACGAGTCCCTGGGGGGGCAGGCTCGGGGTCGTCACCGACACCACGGGGGTGGCGAGAGGCTGCGTGGACTGAGAACTGCTGATCCTTTGGGTGTTCTGGAAGGGAGGGAAAACACCACTGTGACACCAGGGTGGGAAAGCAGAAGAGCATTCCACTAAAACATGGCGCTGTTTTTTAGTTAGGAAATAGGGTTTTTTTATCAGGGTGCATTTTCTAAACAAGCTGAAATGTTTCAAGACAACCAAAAATGATCCTGGCAAACTGAAATGAAACATTAATTAACTCACTGGGCCACTTCCAGAGCATGCAGATTGCAACAGCGGTAAGGACACACAAACAAATGCAATTTCTTAGGGATACACACGACAGTTCTCAGAAGTTCTGAAGTGATTTAAGAGGTTTGAGTTTTAAGGGGGTTTAGTGCAGATGGTGAGGTGCAGTTCCACCAGAAGAGATTCTCCCACTTCACAGTTGTTTATCCAATTTTCCAAATTTCAGCTGCCAGTTTTGACACTGTGCTGACTACACCTGTCCTGAAAGGAACACAGAGATCTTCTAAATTTGTGTTGATAAGACTCCAGTGATAAAATAATCTTGCTGTTCCCATGGTTCCTGAGAAACCGAGAGAGTACTTGTTATCATGCAGAAATGTTTCCAAGCAAATGACACTGGAGTTCACACAGAGCAACTGCGCTTCTTGACAGGGAAAATAGCTAAACTAGATTGTCTCACATTATCTGACTGTGGGCACAATTTGGCTCTTTGGTGACAGCCTTTCTTTCCTGCACGCTGGAACGAACATCTGCAGCAAACACATCACTCAGCCTAAGCTGTGACCGAATCTGCTGGTTAGAAGGTTAATTAACCAGCAAAGCTGCTCCCACGGCACCAACTGCAAACCCTCCTCGGAACAGGAGGTTCAGCACCGTTTGGCCACGCCAGGTACTGCCAGGAACCAAAACTGAGACAGCTCTCCACTGTTTGTTGTCACCTGCAGCAGTGGCAGCAGTGTCTACACCCTGCCTTCCTCCATCCTCCAGAACCATTCCCAGTTCAGGGAGCTGGGTTTCAATCTGCTGTTTTTAAGGCAAACCTCTCTCTCTGCCTCTGAAAAAAAACGTTTGCTGCAAAAGGAGTAGGTTCTCATCTCTCTGGCAGGTTCCAGTTCCCACCTTTGCAGGACTGCAGTTACTTCTCTCCCTTTCCTTCTGGACACAGGGATTTCAGGATCTGCACCACTCCATTTTCTCCCCTCCACTCTGATCTTGAGAGAAGGAGCAGCATTAAAAATGCATCACTCCCTTCTTAATCTCAGAAGGAAGCAGGTACAGAGATGGGGCTGTGCTCAATTTTAACCTTAGATGGGTGAAGATGAATTGAGGGTTATCCATCTTGTGTCCCTCCCGTTTGAAGGAAGAGGTTTGTACCACATCTTCCACATTAAAATCAGCCACAGCCTCCCACCTTCCCCCCTCTCCTGCTGCTCTACTCCCACTTTGGAGCCTCCCAGGGATTTGGGGGCTCTTTGGGATCAGCTGCCAAACACATCCCCTGGCAGATGAGCCCACGGTGCTTCAGAGCTCCCAGATCCCAAAGCTCCCAGGGCAAGCCCCTCCGATTTTCTGTCATTGATCCCTTTAAATCACTTTAGTACTTCTGAAAATCCCCCCCAGACCAAGTTTATCTGGCACAAAGAGATGTTATTAGAGCAGATTTTTGTGTCTGTCAGGAATTGACCTTTCTCCAAAGCTTTCTTGGATGGCAGCCTATAAAGTTGGGATTACTGTATAATGGAAAAGTAAAGAGGAATATACTGGGAAACAATCCAGACCAAAGGATTTCCCCGTGGGATTTCTTTTTTTTTTTTTTTTTTTCTGGAGTGGCTAATAAAGGTGGTTTTCTGAGGTAATTTATTACTGAATATAATTGCTGAACACTGAGAAATATTTAGATGTGGCCAATATTTGTTGTACTCGGAGGTCCATGACAAATTGAGGATATTTTAACTTTTTTTAACTGGTGCAAATGTAACAGGAAGAATTCAGTATCTTTATTATTTATTATTTTATTATTATTAATTACTCTATTATGCTGCACTACCCTCTGTGGCTGCTTTTCATGTTCAGTGCTCAGGTCCAACCTCACACAAGGAGCGTTCACAGCCAGGATTTGGAACTTCCCAGCACTGGAAGTGGCACAACAGGAGGCAGAGCACTGCAGGGGTGGCTGGTACCGTGTTCTGAGGCAGCCACATCACCTTTCCTTTGTGTGAGAGCTGCTCCCCCTCGGGCCGATGCCAGGTTTTAAAGCCACTAGATGGCCCACGCTCCACACGGGCTGGGAAGCCCAGGCTCATCCCACTGCAGAGCAATGCTGGCAGTTTGGGGAGGCAGCAACACCTGAATCCCTGCAGGGTTTGCATTCATCCCAGCTGCAGTGATTCCCTGGTGGAGTGTTTGGACACTGAGCTTTATTCCCTGCACTGCAAACCAGACGCTCCCCTCATGGGACAGGGACGCGTCCGAGCGTTCCATCAGCAAATCGGCCCCGGGAAAACTTCAGCACTGACCGCTTTCCCTCGCTTTTGGAAATCAGTGCCTGTGTTTAGGTCAACAATCAACCAAGAGCATGCACTCAATCACAGGATGGAGCTAAACCACTACTATTTTTTCATGCTTTCATGCAGTTAGAGCCTCCTATGAGCAACAGGTCCATGTTCAGGAACAAATCAAGGCCTGCCATGGGCTGATTTCTCTGTGAATCTGATGCAGCATCTTCTGCCTGCTTTGTGCCACAGCAGCTGAACAATTTGCAAATGGCTCTAAAAATAAGTCAGGAATTATTTTAGCCTTACTTTGATTTTCCAGCCAGAATGCCAAATGTTCAAACCTTTTGGGAAGGGGGGGGAAAATACCCAAATCCCCAGAGTTTCCTTTCAAAAGCAGAATATCTTTCCACTGGGGAAAAAAAAAAGGTAGAATTATTCATCTGCAATCCCCTGTTCCTTTTGGTAAACAGGGAACACCCCTGTGGTTTGATAATCTCACGCAGAATGAAATAATTCCAACCTCCAAAAAGGTGACCTCACCAGCAATGATGTCATCTTGAAAATACGAGAAGTAACACAGGGCTTGTGTTACAATCTCAAGAACTTCACAAGTGAAGCCACTTGCTAAAAATATTCCAATAATTTAGGGGGTGGGAAGTGGTTATTTATATTTTACATAAAAGCCAGGACATATCCTACACACATGGACAGTTACTTTGTAAGGCTCTTTTCCAATGTTCCCTCCAAGAAAAACAGAAACATTTTCAGGAGAAAAAAAAATATAAATATATATATATATACAAGTTTACAAATGGCAAGAGCTGACTTTGGATGTGTTTTCAACTTGAATTGGTCGGGTTTTGAGTCTGATAAAACAAATGTATTTTTGTCTGCTACCAAGGGAACACTGGAATTATTTAAAATATGTAATGAAACTGCAGTTAAAAAGCTGTAGTGAAAGACATTTCCAGCATCTTGCTGTCTCTCAGCAAACAGCAGCCCCAACTCACCAACTCCAATTCATCCTCCTCCGACTGTACTCAGCAAACAAGAGGGATAACACAGTTACTAAAAATAGCATTGCTTTCAAATGACAGAAAAAAAATCACGTTTCTGCTTCGGGATTTTTTGTCATTTTAATTAATAATGTGAATTCGACACCTAGACCTGTAAATAATACGACTTCAGGTGTGATACCTGGTGAAATTCTTGTCAAATAAAAGCTGTGTGTTAAAGGAACATGTGGCTGTGGGGAAATGAGTGCAGGAGAACACAAGGACACCAACACAGGTGGAGATGGAGCAGAGCAGTCTCTGATCCAATAAACCAGCTCAGCAACCAAATACACTTTTGACATACAACCACCATTCCAGGTGAAATCCCACTCTGAAATCCCTTCCCAGTTCCCTCAAAAACAGCCCAAACCAAAGCTGAGCGTTGTGTTGTTCTTCACAACACAACAGTAAATAGGTGCTGTACCCCACTAATATCAGACTTGCATTACCAAGATCCTCTTCTTGTTTCTGATTCTAATTGAAAGTGTAATTTCCATTTTAATGGTCAGCCAGTGCACTTCCTATCTCTCCCACACTTCCTATCTCTCCAACACTTCAGTATTCCTGGAAAAACCCAAAACTTCCAGACTCATTACTCTGAGGCTCATTACAGCCTTTGTTACCTGGATTAATTTGGAATTATTCACCATGAACACCAGTAACAAATGGAAGCCCTTGTGGTGGCTTAAAACCAAACAGGAACTCTGCAGAGAGCCCTCGTGCTGTTCATATCCTGCTCCTCCTGGTTATGGTCCATCCTTCCACACTCAGAGAGCTTGAGAATTTCTACCTGACAGCAGCAGACCAAGACCAAAGGATCTGGCCAACTAAATTAAAGGAGAAAGGCAGTGACCCTTCCTGCCAGACCAGTTCTGGGCCCAGGGCCGTGGCTGCCACGAAACTCGTGTGCTATTCCCAATCCAGGCTGGACAAACATCACTGCCAACATGCCAAAGTGCCCAGCAGCTCTGACAGGCACCTCAGCTCCTTCTCATGGCCTGGATGAAGGCACAACATCCACTGAGGACGCCCAAGGTCACGTTCCAACAGCCCACATCAAACACGCGCCTCTCCCAGACCGTCGTTACCACTGAAGCTGCACTTCCCATCCTTCACATCCCACAGCCATTACAGCCCAGGAAAAACAGGTACAAAATGTGCTTCAGGGCACGTTAATAGAGCTCACATCACCACTAAGATCCTCCACAGAATAATGCACAGCCCTTTTTAAAAGCCACATCCTCCAAACCAGCAGAGAGCTCTCGGTGCCGAGCCGGTGAGACGTCAAATGCACACACCGAAATCTCAGTCTCTGTCTTTAGGGCTGTGCCCCAACCGTGTTCAGGTCAGACTTATTTTACACCTTAAAGAATTCCTTACAAATGTAACAAACTGCCCAGGTCACAATTCATAATTTGGACCTTGAGCAGTGACGTTTCAGAACACAAACCCCTCTGTGTCCCTGCAGCCCACGGGGAGCAGGTGGGGCAGTTTTTCCCCCCCACCCATGCATGTGGACAGAACGCAACATTTTCACAAAGCCACTCCCAGAACTTAAGAATCTTAAAATCTTCAGAAGTTGGAACTCACCAGAGGTGGCATCATGCCCTTGCTGGAGGGGGGGATGACGACACGGAGGTCGGGCTTGCGGTTGTTCATGCCCAGGTTGCCTCCCCCGGGGGGAGGGGGGGACTTGGTGGGCATCACCTTGCCCAGGCCGTTCCCACCAGCACCAGTGCCCAGCAGGCTCGGTGAAGCTCGAGAGTTCACAAACCCATTTCCTGAAAGGGCAAAAAAAAAAAAAACAGGTGACCCGTGAGGCTGAGGGGGAAGGGTCCACAACGAGAGTTTCGGTGCTTTTGCAGCAATTCTGAAATATTTATTTCGCAAAACTTCCGACGACAAACTCCGCATTGAATAATCGACCCGGCCCCAACCACTCTCCCCAGAAAATCAATGTGGAAAGGGAATATCACTCCAAGGGCAGCTGTGGCAGCTCAAATGCTGAGAGGAGCAGATTGCCAAAGAACTATTTCTAATAACATCCGTCGGCTCTGTTTTGCCCTCTGAGTTTCCTCCAGGCTGCAGGAAAGTGGGGGCTCCTGCACGAGCCCACTTGGGGCCCCAACCCCACCAGGACAGGGATTTTGTTGGTGAGAATAAAAAAAACAAACCAGCTCTCAAAGTGTCTATTTCTAAAATGCATTCTTCAGGTGCCTTTCAAGATCTGCAGGACTAATTTCAGTATCATCAATATATACCAATTATTGCATTTAACAACAATAAGGAAAACAAATCCTCTCCCTTCAAGTTCACTCCAGCTATATGTGTCATTTATGCCCATCAATCTGTTTCTCACACTTACTCCTGGTACTCATTTTAAGTGGAATTAGACCAGCCAAAGCCTGCAGGGCTTCAGCACTGGAATGCTCGAGGCCTCGGCTCACACTCAGAACTGATCAGAAATAGGTAAATCCCTGAAGTGCCCAATATTCTATGTTCCTGTACTCACAAAAGCACCAATCATGTTAACCAAAACATCTCTCTCAGAAAAAAATTTTCAAGCCACATTCCAGTCCCAGATTCATATTTATAGCAACAATCCCCCAAATACACACACCTTATTCAGCTGCAAATAGAGGGGGGGAAAAAAATAGTTGTTAAGGAGAATTTCACAACAGGGAGCCCTACAGTTCACCCTACAGAACCTGTGTGTGCATAAATAAACACAATTCATAGGGAGATCCTGTGGGCACCGACACTGCAGCTCTGAAAGCAGCTTTTCTACTCACAGCCAGGGGAAGGTCTGGGAGACAAAGTTCACTGTGTGGGAAATTCTCCCCTAATCGCCCGTAGGGCCACACGGGCACGGATTTTGTATTATTATTTTAATTTGAACAGGCCCCTATGCCCAATCCAATTTTACTGCATTAAATACATATTAATCTAAAAGCAATTAAAATAAGGAAGTTGTCAGTGTCACATTCTACCTTCTGTAGCAACATTTTTAATGCCTTTCAAAGCTCAGCAAGGAGCACAACACTTCCTGAGGGTGACTGGTACTACTGAGATATCCCATGTGCACTGAGAACTTCAGTGTGAATTCACCAGGATAATGGTGAGGAAATTTCTTTGCTCTGTGGATCTCCTGCTGTGCCAAAAGCCTGACCAGACAGGGCCAATGTGAGATGTCCCTGGTGCTTTCCAAGGTTAGCAGAGCAAGGAGGAGTTATTCTAATTTAGCACTTTCCTGAAGCATTTGTATAGGAGATATGGGAATGTGACTTAGAAGTCATGGGGGGGAAGGGGGGGAAGAAGGAACACAGCACAAAAGAAAAAGTTTTTTATGTCAGCATTCTTCCTTCTGTATTAAAAACCACCTCAAAACCTCATTTTGTGATTAAAACATCTCCATTCCTCAGCAGAAAACAGCAGAATTCACTCAGATGCTCCTGTCAGTGATAACATTTACTTGGGAGTGGCTGCTGGAGCTGAGAATACACACGAGAGCTAAAGATGCTCTGGACTGGTAGGAGAAAACTCAGCTCAGCTGGGTCACGTGGAAAAAAGCACCAGCCAGAAAGAGAAATGGAGTTCTGTGCTACCCCTGAGCTTCCTGCAACTGAGACAGCCTTTGCAGAATCCTGATTTTGTTCAACACAAAGCTATGCCTCAATTCCAGACAACCCACAGGGCACCAGAGTGCCAGAGGAATCTTACACAATGGACAGGGTAAAAGTCAAATGGATCTGGAAAAAGACATGAGGGAGGAAAAAAAAAAATCTCAGCAAATGGCATAATTTCCACCAAATTACACCTAAAACTTTGTCACAGCACCTCCCATTTTCAGCAAAAATGCCAGAACATTTAAACAACTTACTGTTATAACAGAAGCAGAGCCTGGGTTTCAGTGTAATAACAGATTTTATTACTCACTGGGCTGTCAGTGGTACCTTTCCATGCCAAGGCTGTGGTGTCCTGGGCCGAGTTTGAGCTGCACAACAATCCCGCTCTGTCCAAACAATGGGGTTCTGTACAGAATTTACAGCAATTTGGGCCATCCTATGATCCCATTTCCTGTCCTCTGTTTTCAAGTATTCCAGTAGCCCCTGTGTTAAATCTGGACAGTGTCTTTCTCCCACACCCAACCCAGTCATTTCCTGAGCCCTTATTCCAAGGCTCTGCCAATCCTCCAGAAACATTTCATGCTTGCAGTGGTGCTGTCAAAAACAACAAGCTCCCTGCCACCGCCTGCCCTGCCCCTGTCACGGGGCACAGGGCAGAGTTACAGCATTCAGTCAGACAAAAGGCTGAGCAGCCCTTAAAGGGAGTGTTCAGAATGTATTAAAAACCATAAAAAGTGTCCTAAGTGTGCAGTGCTGAGGGCCTGAACCAAGAGCAGCCCTTTGATGAAGAGCTGGCACCGAACACTCAGCAAACACTGGAGTGTCTCTATTGATTGTCTGAAGAATCATATGCTGGGGCTGCAATAAGGCTGCAGAATGTTCAGCTTGAGTATGAAACTTCAAGCCTTTTTTTCCCTTTTAATAATCTAATAATAAAATCAAATTACCAGTGAGGAGCGAGAGGGTAACCAAACACACGGTATTTCTTAGAGCAAGGTCAGGAGCCAGAAAAAGATAATGAGCACAGGATGATGCAACTCCAGGGCTGTTTGCCAAGGGGAGGCTTTAATAACCCCATAAATTCTACTCACTCCTTTGGATAGCACAGAAATTGTTCCTACCCCACCCACTGCAGGTCTTCCCCAAAGACAATACTTCTCATCATCAAACTGAACATGGAAAACCGGAATATAAAATCCTACATATGTGTAAAAATAAGACTGTTTTTACTCCCGTAGGAAGAGTTTTATTTAACTCTAATTCCTTAAAACAGACGTGAAAGCATGTTCAAAACAGTCCTCTGGAAAACAGACACCAGTGCAAAGATAAGCTCTCAATTATATGAATCACAATTTAATTAGATTTCATGATAACAAACCCTGCCAGCCCACATTAACCCACTTCTTGCTCAGACACAAAAGTGTTTACTTCTGAGGCAACTTCTTTTCTGAAGAGAAACCTTACAACCCACCCATTGCAGCAACTGGATCTTCTGCCTTCAGAGACATAATACAGCTTAATCTCATTTACTGTCCTGCAGCCCAAGACACAGCATTCAATTACACGAGCCAGACTCATATTTCACTCCATAAATCACATCAGCTGAAACAATGAACACACGTGGCTGGAAAGTACTCCATGTACTTATTACTACTCAAGGAATAAATTACAGGCACTGATGCCATTAATCTTTTTTTTCTTTTCTTATTTTTTCTTTTTTTTTTTTGTGGTTCACCTTTGGAGAAACTGGACAGTTATGCAGAGCCTTGGAAAATAATTGTGGGCAAGCAGCTGAGCCACGTGTAAGGTGAAGCAAAAATAAGGATGGTGATAAATATTTATGCCTCCAGTGAGATCATACGACCCCAACAGACATCACACCCGTTAGCAGGGAGCTGAAAATTGGGTTTGCAAGAAGCCATCCGTTCAGGAGGCATCAGGAGAGCAGATAAAAATCTACTGAGGGAAAACATCTACGTGTAAAACCTCGGGGTGGGGGGGGGGGAACACAGTGCAAGTAAACACAACAACAGCGTTTCTGTGTGCATTAGTTGCTCAATCTGTTTACTCTGGGGTTTAGCAGGACAGATTTAAGTGGAAATTGAAACCATTTTCAGGCTCTGCACAGCAGTCACTGCTGATTCTACCACCGTTTCCATAAAGCCCGAGTTCTGTGTTAGCCTTGGAAAGAGTTCACGATGGTATCTCAAGGAAGCTGCAATAAATGTAATTTCTACTGATCTTTACACAAATCAAGGTGTCAGGTAATACCACCAGAATTAAAAGATACCTTTGACAGTAATACAAGATCTTGAAACACGTCTCCCATGTAAGATTTATACTTCTAAGGCACTACTTTAGATATTAAAAGGCAGCAAAGAAAGAAATACACATGACTAAATGTCAAGGGAATGCTTACTCATGTTACAAAACTTAAAAAAAAAAACCCTCACTTCCCAGGTTTGCTGGAAATTTTTTTTGCCTGAAGCTACATAAAAGGAGAAAGAATTTTCAAGGATATTCAGAATTTAAATGGGCTTTCTTCAAACCAGGGTTATTACTCAGGATGCAACAGCAAATCTAAATGAAAGCATCGTGCTTTTGTGCCAGCGTGAAACATTAGCAGTGGCAACTGGAGGTCTTTTAGGTCTTTTGTCAACTGATGAGTTACCAGCTAATTAAATAAGAGGTTAGTTCCTGAACTTGCTGTCTCTGTGTGTCTACACAAAGCCACCCTAAAGAATGGCAAAGGATGGAGAAGTGGCGTGTTCAGAACACCTGAGGATGTGTGGCATCCTGGGCAAGGGGACGCTACAGAAATGTTGGTAATTACTTTAATCCAGCTGGGAAATTAATAATTTGATATATGCATGGCAAATTCTAACCAGAATTGTCGTGGAGCTCTCAGTAAATCAGCAATTACAGTAAGATTAGGAACACACAAGAGATGAAATTTCAACTCAAATCCAAGGGTAGTCGAGGGGCTGAACTGACGTCATGCAGATGGGTGGTTTCCAAGGACAAACAGCTACAATTTAAAATGCTTTCTTCTACCAGCATGTTTTTAATGCTGATTTCAGCCAGTCATCTTTTCTGTGAGCTGATCTAATCGCAGGGGGATGGATGGATCAACCTTTGTTATGTGCTGACAACAGTCCAGCAAATGAGAAGGGTTCAGCCTGCACTGTCAAACAGCTGCTCCTCAGCCACTTCCAGAGCTCCTTCTCCACGAGGAGAGCTTGGAGGCTGGAGGAGTGAGCAGGCTGGTCTCATGTGCTTCAGGGATCCTTCAACTCCTTCCCTGGAGAAGGGTGAAACCCTGACTGTTGAATTTCCCTGGGTAACCTTAAAGATCAGAGGAGGGCAAACCACGACGATGCCTTGACATCAGTGACACGACAGAGCAGGAACCTTTGTGCACTCAAGGTGATGATCAAACATTCTGCAGTCCCAGCCCTTCCAACACAAGTGGGGAGCTCTGCCCAGTGAAAGGCCAGCTGGGACAGATCCCACCTGCCACACTGAATATCTGAAGCCTCCTGTGCACTCCAGAACTGCAGGGGAGTCAGACTGGTGCAAGACCAAGCTCCAGGACTCTTTTATCCTCAGACACACACACAGACAGCTCTCCCCATCAGCCAAGCCCTCAAGACAAAAGACCATTGACAGGTGTGGCTTTTCACAGTTCTCTGTCGAGCAGTTTACAGGTGTGGAGCTGTCAGTGGCACCTCTGCACAGCCCCTGCTCAGGCCAGGATACAACACACACAGGAGCTCTCTCAGCACAGACACAACGGCTCACAGGGCACAGCTTTGCAAGCTCCAGTTCCATCCCAAAGAAACTCAGTGTTCCTCAGGCCACTTCTCATTCCCAGAACCTGAAGATTAGGATGGATAACTGCGGTAATTTCGAGCCCTTCTCAGTCCTAAGGGATGGGACAAGGTCACTGGAAGTGCATTTCACAGGCAGCCTCCGGATGGTTGGAGGTCTGACACCAAATCTACCGGGACAAAGCAAAGCAGATCTTCTCATGGCAAACTGGAAGGGGATCCATCCATCCAGTCCTTTCAGTTCAGAGTTACAGAAACTCTCCCCAATATCTGGGGACTCGTGTGAGGCTACACTTTGCTCAATTAGAAGCCACAGCCCTTTAAAGGCACTAATAGCAGACATATAATGGATGATCAAGCCATGATGATGCTGACAACAAGCAGCAAGTTCTACACATCCTGGTGCTACAAGAGCCCTGAAGCATCTTTGATGCCCATCACAAATTAAACAGGGTTTAACACCGACCAGGAGCAGCTCTACCATCAAAGCTCTACCTCAAAAACCTTTGATCTGATTAACAGAAGAAATAAATTGGCTCCAAAGCAAACACTGTCATGACGCTGGACGTTCTTCCCCTCTCGAAACCGATCTATTTGCCAAGTAAAAATCTTCAGCAAGTGTTTTTTATGTGGTGGGCAGGATTTTAAAAATATTACAAAAATGAGAATGCTTTTTCAGAGCTGTGACAGCTGCATGTGAAGTAAGCTCTCAGTATTATAAAGTGATCACAAAATTTTCTGTTCTGGATATAAAAAACCACCTACCAATCTTTGCTACAACACGCAGATATTTTTACTCAAAGTTATTTTCCACAGAAAAACTGTTAAGCTGGCAGATTGACTGCCAAAGCAAATCATTTCCATTCCAATCAAGTTACACAGGACTTGAGAAAAAGACTCGTGTGAACTCAATATGAGCCATTTTATGCAACATCTTTGTTTGAACTGGGTCCCAAATAAGCAAGATAACCTTTACTTGCTTTTTACTCCGACATAAAGGCATTTAAGTGTCTTTCAAGGAAATGGGAACAAAATCTCAAATGCACCAAAACTTGAGCTTGTAGAAGATGGGTTTTTCCTTTACTTATAAGGGAATATCTGGGAATATGGCTATGCCAGTGCTCCATCTTTTTTACCTCTGACATCACTCCTACAGATTGTGAGCTGCACATTTGGCACATGACCTTTCACTACATCCATAGGAGAATTCTCCATTCCTGAGGAGTTTAAAGAAAAATCCTGAAAGCTAAAAGAAGAAAATAGGGGGGTTTTTGGAGTCCTACAATAAACACAGCAAGAAACTAAAACCATTATTGTCTGCAGACATAATTAACAGGATATACATTTCAACAGCAGCTGTCAAGCTCAAATTGACAAATTAGCAGATTTAATCAATCTGGTTACATATGGTGTCTTGATTTTGGTTGCCACTGAGAAGGTTCCTGGGCACCTGTCACTATTTTAAAGTTGTAGGAAGTAGAGCTGTGACAACTCAGGGCACCCTCTGGTTTAGCATTTTGGTGTTGACCAATATTTGAGCTTCACTAGAGGTGCTTCTTGGAGATGTTCCCCTGTTCTTGTACAGCCCCAACTCTCACTTGCATGACAAACCTTTCTAGGAGTGAGTGGGTACATGTATAACATTCTGGGTGTGATGTTCTGCAAAGTAAGAGATAAGTGATGCATTCTGACTTCTTACATAGACTATTAATAAATGCAAGAAGGAAAACATTTTACTGCACTAAATACATTCACCAAGCTGCAGGAACTGGGCACTTCTAGAGTTTAATACCCCACAGAAGTGCTGGAAACAACTGTTTTATTTGCTTATTGGAAGGAGGAATCTTAAATCTGAGGCTGCTGTTACTAAAGCCTGATTTTGGAGGAGAGGCCTGAGACAGCCTGATAATAAACTTATTTAGTCTGACTAGAGAACTACTATGGAAATCATCATCTGACCTCCACAGTTCCTAAAAATAGTCACCTTTTTCTCAACTGAGGAAGTTTCCTCCATTTAAAATCCTGCTTACCTGATGGAAACCACTCTTTAATATTTCATATCTTTGCTGCACACGGCCAAAGGATGGAGGAAGAGTGGAAAGTCAATCCTGCACTTTCAGCCTTGGAGCTGCAGCATTTTTTATTCATCAATTCAATTGCCTGACCTGATGTTCAAAGAACCTTTTTTCCCAGTTGCCAGACTAAGTAGCCAGTGGGCAAATCCTGACAGCTCAACAGTTGCTTCTCTAATTCCTTGCTATGAACACATTCCAAGGGGAGCTGCTTGTGTTTGCAGAACTGACCTTCAGCACCAGGACACCCAAAGTCACAGCAGGAACGTGAACAAAGTGGGGGAACTGCCATTTATTTTGTCTTTCTGGGGAGCACTAAATGTCCATGGCTGCCTGGTCTCTCTCAGAGTGCTCCATTTTATATTTAGGGGAGACAAAATATTATCTAAACGAGAAAATGTCCTTGTATCTTTTTACTGAAGACCAAAAAATACGGGGATTCGATTTCTGGAGAGATCTCTTAATTTGTTTCCAAAAGGAATTCTGATCATCATCCAACATGAAGACAGACCCCAGCTATCAGCTTCCAAGATTTACTGCTTTCTTCATAGAACCGCTACAAAATGATGAGCAAGATACACATGGCAATACAAACAATACAGTCTGTATTTGCCTCATTTTGATTGGCACCAATACCAGTATCAAACATCCAGGTCCTGCAGATACTGAAGATGGGGGCTGAGCTGAGTTGTATTTGGTGCAATAGTTCAGTAAAGCTCAGAGACTTTCATACCAAGCACCTTCAAAATGCGAGCATAAATGTGCATATTACAAAGCAGCCAGTTATCACACAAAAAAGAAAAAGTTAGCAAGAACCTTTTCTATGAGTAACCTTGCCAAAATATTCATCTCTACAACTTTCTTTTGCAAAAATTAGAAATTTGGCAAAAAAAAGATCTTTTCAGAATGCGGCAATTGCACCTGTAGAGATACATAAAAACAGGAGCAGCGTGGTGCTACCGAAAACCACTAAAACAAAAAGTGCAAGTGTCACTGCAGTGGAAAGGGCACAGCAGTGAAAAGTTAAAATGCCTGATAAGAATTCACACAACTTGACCTTTGCCCTCCCCACAGCCAAACTAAAAAACTGCTTTTGAGTGACCGAAAGGCACCACAAGCTTCTCCAACACAGACACGAGGCTGCACTTACCCACTGGGCTGGTACCAGCTCCGTTTGGCACTGACAGCTCGGTCGTCCCCAGCATCGCACCTGGTAAAAGAAGAGCATCAAACCCACTGTGCCATCAGGCTGTGCCACCCTCTGTGCTCAAGCTGTGCAAGGCTGTCACTGGGTGTTTTGGGGGGTGGATTCAGTGAGCAGAGCACGGGGGCTGGGAGGGGGAGCCCGCGGGGCCCTCACCTGCGTTGCCGGTGCTGGGAGGTCTCTGGGGCGCCCCGGGGGACACGTTGCGGTGCAGGGTGCTCTGAGGGGGGGACAGCATGGTGGTGTCCGTCAGGGAGGAGCTGGCTGCCAGGGATGGGGACACGAGGGAGCTCCCTGGGTTGCTGTAGGTTAAAGTGTTGGGGTTGGACACCGGAACCGTGACCGACATGGAGAAGTTCTGAGCGGGCAGACCGGGCTGGGGGAGAGAGAAGATGAGGAACAGAGAGACAAGGCCGTTAGCATCGACTGCACGCACAGCACTGCACACAAACACACAGTCACGTCTGCCAAGAAGCATTCAGGTTCTTTTCTTTCTCAAAAACAAGTTAATTATGTTAGTTTTTCAACTCTTTTAAGCAGACGGTTTTAAAACACCCATTTGTTGTAAAGGGACGGTGTTAAATTCTTGTACATCACAAAAATAACAGTTCCAAAACCTCTGAAATACTGGAAGTTCAAATACAGAAAACTGAAAATATTCACGTGAATTCACAAGCTCATAAATACAACAAATTAACCAGTTAATCTGGATTATTACAAAGCAACGACAAGCTAAACATGTCTACAAATCATTGACTTGTACCTTCAAAATGTAAGAATAAACATGCACGTTACAAAACAGTCAGTTATTACACAAAAAAGAAAAAGTTAGTAACAGCATTTTCTATTCATATATATTTTCTATTAATAAACCTGCCAAAATATTATTAATCTCTAAAACTTCCTTTTTCAACAGATTAAAAAAAAACAAACCAAAAAGCCAAGTCTTCAGAAAGTCACAGTTCAGTCATTTGAATTTAAACATTTCAGGTTCCACAAACCCCTGCTCGAATAACCACTCCATCTTTTTTTGCACCTCTCACTGTTTTACATTTTAACTTTTACAGCATTATTTAAGAGGCAGTTGGTTTGGGGCAGTCTATATGTTTGTTATTCAGCAGCTATTCGAATCAAAAGCAGAGATGCCTGCCCATCTATGGTACTCATTTGGTCATGACTAACTTCTTTGGCCTTTGTCTCATTCCTATCCTTTGACAGGGATGAGTTTCTGAAACAAAAGGGACTATTTTCTTTCACAACTCTCATAATTACTGGAAACAAACCCATGACAGGTACAATTTAAGGGGGGAAACTCAGTAGGATTTATTGACAGAACGGAGAGATAATAGTTTTGATTTAGAGGTCAAACACAGATGACCAACCAAGAACACTTTAAAAAATGCAATTTCATCACATGCAGCTTAAAAACCACTTAGAATGATAGTTCTGGATGAAAATCTGGATAACACTAGAAATATAACAATAACTATGTAATTAAAAGAGCAGAATACATTTTGAACAAGGAACAAAAATCTCTTACTGGTGAGAGCCAACAACAACAACGTCCCCACTCAGGCATTCTAAGAATAATTATCAATTTTTGGCACAGATGGAAGGAAAAAGTAATGAAGCACAACGATGTAACATCAGCAAATCACTCACAGTATCTAACTAATGACAACCTCACTGGTGCTTGTTTTTCAGGAGGAACTACTCGAAGAAACTGTTCAGTATCTCCCAAAAAAAAAAAGGCTGTTTTTAAACGGCAGCTCAAACTAAACTGGAAATACCTGAAGAGTGCTGAGCACAATGGCAGGAGGTGACAGCTGGGACATTTTTCCTGTAGGTTTCTCAACACAGAAGGAAGGAGTGACAGGCTCCCCCCACACCTTACAACAAAGGCTGTCCCTGCCCATCTCTGGTGCTCATTTGGGTACGACCGAATTCCTCACGCTTTGCCTCATTGCTGTCCCCTGCCAGTAATGAGTGCAGAGAACAAGGGCAACTGTGTTCTTACCCAGCCCCACAAGTGCTGGGAATGGGGACAGAACAGCCCAAAATCCAAGTTATAAATACAGAAGCTACAGAGCTAAAAAATAACGCTGCCTTTTTTTAATTTCTGCTCGTGTCCACACAGACATCTGGGCTGCGAGGGAGAGCAAGTGAGCTGTGACACGCTGGGAGATGAGGCCTGGGGAGGTCTCAAGCACAGAAATGTTGGGTGTCAAAAGCTTCAAAGTAAGGCAAAACCCAAAACAGATTGGCTTCATTCAGCTATAAGGTGCTAAAAGAAGTGGTGCTGGGTGTCACGGCAGTCACTGCCCTAACAATGAAATGATTTCCACTCAAATGCCCCAGTGGTGATTAACCAAGCCAGGCCATCTCCTTGAACTGCTGCAAGATTTGCCAGGTTAAGAAATTCAAAGGCTGTGGCAGAGCCCTGTATTAGTGTTCTCAGAAAATACTTGCCCTGTGATACTCAACACTAATTGGTTTTTGTAGGTGGGAATTAAATGTCATGGTGAACACCTCCATGAAAAACATGTGACATGAGCACTGCTTTTATCCCCTAACTGAAGTTCTGGAGCCAAGTGACTTAGGGCTGCACAAGGGGGAGAAAATTCTCCAAGATCTTTCAGTGTCCAAGGAAGTATCTGCTGGAATTTCAATCTTTTGAGGCTCTCATTGTGCACACCAGTCTTGATCTCTAAATATCTAAATAAGTTTCTACACCCAGACTTGAACAAAATAAAATTCTACTGATTAGAGGACAAAATTAGTCCAATTCTATTTGCCTGCTAGTAACATGCTGAAAAATCTCGATCAACAGACAGATAAAGACCCAAAAGATGTAAATAAATGATCCTACAGCCCACGACAAAAATCTGTCTTTATGAATGTATTTTAGGTAGAATTAGGTAATGCAGCCAGGCTCCTGAAATTTAGAAATGTTATCTCATCTTCACAAGATACGAGTGCAAAACAAGAGCTAGAGGTAATTCTTCTTATTATTTAAGATAAAATGTATTTCATCAAGATCAAGTAGCAGCACCTCATCTTTCCTCAACAAATAACGTTGTTCCCTTCTCAAGCCATCACATCCTCCTCTTGCCTTTGAAGTGGTTCTCAGTGGTAAGCACACAACCAGGAAAATTCTCATGCATGTAAGAGAAGCACAAACCATACTTTAGTACTCACTGCGATTTTATGATTCCTCATCATATTATCAAACTCTTCATTAATTTTTTTATATTTTTCCTCTGTATGTGGCGTGAGCACATATGAAGTGTCAGGGTCCGGGCTGTCGCACCCTCTGTGTTCCTTCTTGTTCAGAGCCTAAATAATGAAGTTAATAAAAAGGATCAACAAATAAAAAGTAGAGATAAAATAAAAGTACTTACAGGGCCTCGCTTGAAAATAAAATCACTATCTTCATTTAGTTTGCTGAATCTGTCCTCCGATAGCGGACTGTGCTCAAAGTAATCGTCAGCATCAGGGCTCTCACAACCATTAAGGCCTTTCTTTCTTAAGGTCTGAAATACAATTGGAAAATTCACACACAGATCATACTAACTTGCCAAGAAGTTTTGTTGTTTGTTTTGTTTTGTTTTTGTACACTACCCAATCATTCCGAGCCCCTGAAACTACAGATTTTCACAGGCAGAGCTCACTGTCCAACACACAGGGTTAGTCTGTCCAGATAGTGGCAAAGTACACAGAAGGTTCACCCAGGTGCCACCTCACAGGGAAATTTAAGCTACAGCCACTTCACCTCCCCAGCGTTCCGTGGAAAACCATTTTTAGACAGGGGCTGATGGAGCAAAGTTGCCTGACAAGGAACATTCAAGCCTGTGGCAAAGCAGTTCATGTATCCACTGGTAATTAAAAGCCAGTTTAGTGGATCTTGGATGAATTGATTTCAGCCTCCCAATTTTAATATGCACATTTTAAAAAGCACAGGGTTACATTCTGAGAAACACAGTGGCTGAGATTTTTGTTCCAATTCAACAACTGTGGGACATTAATATTTGTAACACTCTCTGCAGTTGATAAAGGCAGGATCTTCCTGCACTTCTGTCATCCTGCATGATAACAACAACAACTGCAAAAAAAGTATAAAAAGAAATTACATAATCCCCCTCTGAAATGACTTAGTTTGCTAAATATAAGCTTTTTCAGAGTCCTTTAGACTAACTTGATGCAATTGCTTTATTGGGCTACTTCCTGTTTTCTGATGGAGAACTCACACCAACATCCCCTGGAAAAAGAAAAAAAGAAAAAAAAAAAAAAAAAAAAAGGCAAACTTGTCTACAGTCCAGGCATCAGAGAAAGGATGTGAAACTACAGGTCTTGTGACCAAAGTATAAGAGATAATTGTATTTCTTGTTTTTCTTTTTTCATCTATTACACAATCAGAAATCTTCCTCTGCAAGTTCTTGTTTATAACAAAACAAGATTTAAAATATTACCTGTGGAAAAAATCTTGTTTTAAAAAGTATCAAAAGGAAAGCAATGTAAATTTTATACAGATACACATTATCAGTACATAAGGCAGCAGCAGGGCTATACAGGCGTGAAGGGGTTGTGTGTTTCCTTTTTGTGGAAAAATTATCTATATTCCATGAATTTCATACTAAAAAAAACCCTAAAGATCTTAGAAATCTGCAAGTCGATATTTTCCAGCCCCACAAAGAAATTCCACGTTTTCCTATAAAAGCCGTTTCCGTAACGCCCCGAAATCCTGATTTCTAAAGCAAAATATTTTAGTTTATACTATTCACCAGCATTTTTTTTTTATTACTTGTCTAACGATTTTTTAGTACAATAAAAAGTGCACAAGCCTTCCCTATTTATAGATATGCAAAACAGTGCCTATTCCTCCTGCAGTTTTCAAGCATCCCATTCGCCGCCTGAAATTCTTTAATATCACAGTTCACCAGAAGCCGCAATTCCTTTCTCGAGTTTCTTGGCTCGCTCAGCGAATCCCACACAGTATCTGGAACTCCCACAAAAATGTAATCACTAAATCAGCATATGGGGGGGAGGAGGGGGAAACAGGTGTGGGTTCCTCCAGCACCTGTCACGGCCCCCATCCCGATCCCGCAGCCCCGACCAATCAGCTGGACACGGGAATGGACTTGGCCATACAAGGCTCGGCCTCTCAAGGTCGGAGCTGTTATCCCTCTCTCCCGGCCCTTCCTAACAAGTCAGCCTGCCAGGCTGCTGCACTTGGGTATCAGCAGGGAAAATGTTAACACTGTATAATCTGGATTACACTTAACCCCTGCAGCCCACGGGACTCTGGAAATAGAATCCAAATGTCTTTACCCGGGACACGATTACCAGCTGGATTCAGTCGCCACAAAGGTCTTGCAAGAACTCCACTCTCTGTTACTTCTCCTCCTTTGATAAACACCTTAAAGCAATTTAAGTCTTGCACGCAGAAGTTTCTTTAGAGCTCCTTTCCATAGTCCAAAGCAATCCAGTGAAAGCTTTTAGGTACAACAGTGGCAATTCATCCCCCCGGATCTGCCCGAAAATTACACTCCACGCTGAGCAAAAAGGAAGAGATTTAAACACAAAAATACCTCCTTCCTCTTGGCCACTGCAGGGTTTTTATTTTCGCTAACAATGGGGTTAACTCTGCTTTGACTCATGAGGAAGGAAAATGCCTCAGTATCTCCCGTTTGGGGCTCTGGAAAGCGTCACTCCAGATGGGGTTCCTGTCATTGTGTGGGGATTTAAGCCAGGCTCAGCGTGACAGATAATCAGGCCGGGCCTGATCGCCAAAGCTCTGTCTCCTTATCACCCAAACACCAAGTGCCACTTTGAGGACCTGACCATAAAAAGCCTGCGAAGTTTTATCAGTGCCCGGTAACACAATAGTAAAACATTCCAGCTGCGGGGCAGGGAATGCTGCAATCTGTTCACACGGGCAGGCGAGGCGGACGCGAGCCAGCCCAGCGCGGGTTCTCACAGATAACAGGCCCTGCTCCAGGGAAAACAAGCAGGGACACACTGCTGGGAATCGCTCTGCTGGGACCCAGGAAAGCCATCGACCAGGGCTGACCCCGCCCTCCAGATTCTCCTGCGCGAAAGATCTGTTATTTCTCCAAATCATGTAAATAAGTCGCCTCTCTGAGTTATTCCCAAGGTATTGCTGTGGAGGCTGAAATTTTACCCACTCTGAGAAATAAAATGCCAGTTGGTGAGACCAAATAATTTGTGTAATGTGAAGAGAGCCTTATTTCTCTGCTGTGATACACAGGCTCGTTTAGAATAGAACCAGGAGTTTTTACAGTTGAGGCTACTAAGTATGGGGCATTAATTTTCTTACAACAGCAAGAGGAGGAAAGAACATTAAATTCCAAGTTTTGCTATTGGATGCTCACTGCAGTTACCTTCTGGTGCGAAGTCTTGTTTTCCAGATCATCTAAGGGAAATGTGCAGCCCTTTCAGTTAATCTCTATTACTTTCCACTTCCTCTAAGACTTAGCCAAAATCACTGGAAATCGTTCCAACATGTTTGCCAATGCACTGCGTTGTGCCCTAGTAACTGAGATTGTGCAGCTTTGATCTTGGACTGCACTAACTACACTGAGGAGGGAAAAGGACTGATTTCAGTCAGAAAACAATTTAAAGTATTTATGAAGAGCCAAGGCAAGTGTGAAACCTTTTTCAAAAGAATGGAGCAAATAGAACAATACAGTTCTGTCATGAAGTTCTAGACAGGTGTGGTCATCTTGATACTGCAGAGCGACCCTGAAGCTTTAAATGCTTTTGTTCCACTCTGTAAAACTGAACCATGTGAATATTATAACTATTAGTTTAACATTGATTTATTTTGATTTGAATGGCAGAGCTTAGAAAACAGTGTATGAGAAAGGCTGGACTGGCTATGATGGGTTTAAATATTGCAGTCAAGCACATGGTAATATTTTCCTGAACTTCCCCACACATATGCAAAGTACTTTTTAATTGCACTGCATTTTGTTAATTTAAGAAAAGAATCATGCCAGAATCATGAACAGAAGAAGGGCCTCTTGCAAAACAACAACAGAAAGGAATAATTGGCTTCTCTCTACAATCCAACATAAATTTTACTGAAACCAGTAACACCAGATACCCAAGAGTGTTAAAATACAACAAAGCCATTTATTGCTCGATCCAGGAGGAAGCAAAGACGATATCCAACCATCAGAGCGTGATTAGCATAAGCTTCCTTCCCCAGAATCCCACAGAGACACGTGCAGTGCAGGAGCCCTGAGCCTGCTGAGCCCAAGTCACCACCTTCCCTGAGCTTGTTCCAGCCCCGCGGCCTCAGTGGCTCCCACGGGATCACGGGGGATCCAGGCAGGGACAGCTCTGGGAACCAGGAATTCTGAACCAACACACACAGGTGGATCCCTGCTGCCAGAGATGAAGGACAGCCCCCAGCTGTGCTCCCATCACAGACCCTGGGCTGCATCAGAAAGGACACGGCGCTCATGATCAACAGGCACAGTGGGCCTGTTCTCTGCTCTGAGATCCAGGGACTTGGAGCTTTCTGATCCTGGTGATCTGGCAGATCTGGGCTCTGGCAGAACTGCAGGGAACCTGACTGTGCTCACTGTCACATCAGGAAACAATATTTTTCTGCCTTAAAGCAAGAACGCGGGGTGACCTCATGTGCAAAAAAGCGTCAGGTCAGTCAAAACACTGAGTGTTGGGTTTCTGGTAATATTACACAAAAAGGAAATGGTTGCTGCTGTCAGAGCTCCCGTGGATCATGTTAACAGCTCTATTTTTGCACTCACTACTGCAGCTGGCCAAACGGGATTTTTGCTGGTGTTTCATCCCAAATCATCAGGAAAACCATGTCCAAAATTTGACTAAGATTGAGATGGGAAGTGATTTCCCTTGGAAAAGGCAAACCTTTCACTTCAATCCTGCAGCTGCTTCTGCTCCTGCAGTCAGAGCACGGAAAAGCTGTGAAGCAGCGCAAATTTGGAGTAAAACCTTTCTAAATATTGTAATTTTTCAAAGTGTAAGTATTCCTCAGGCCTAAAGTAAAGGTCCTACCAAACATTACTGCTGCTCCAGGAGGCACCTACACCACAGACATCAGAAGGGTAAACAATTATAATTTCCTGATGCTCTAATGGAGAGTATTTCTTTCTTCACTAAAATGACAGAAAATTCTCCTTGGTCATTCTTTTTTCTTTTTTTTTGGCTGGGTTTGTATCCAGCTGTAGCAAGAATAAGTGGTTTTCCAAGGTGTGGGCTGAGCACCAGGGGAGGCAGAAGGAATGGCCTGTCCTCTCTGGCAGCAGCCACCTCTGATAAATCACATCCCGCATGAAAAGCCACACCTTTTTTTCTGAGATATTCACCAAATGAAGGGCAGGCACAGCAGTGACAGCAAACCAGATTTCACTCTCAATACCTGAAACATGAGAGACAGAAAGCAGGGCATGTTCCCTCAGTGCAGCTCAGCCCCCTGCCCACAGCAGAGACACTTCAGCAGGCAAGAACCACCCGTATCAATCACTTC